ATGGCTGAAATCTGAGACAGATACTTAATAATCCTCAAACAGATCAATGATGAGCTTAAATAAACAATTTCCAAATTTCTTGTTAAAGAAACTTAGAAATCATTTTGTTTGTGACATTCCTCAGCCTTGTGTGATCATCTTTATGTTTATACAATGCTTCTGACTTTTTAAGATGCTTTCACAAGTATTAGCTCATTTCATCCTTAAACCCTTTGAAGTAGTTAGGGTTCTATTACTCCCATTTGACAGATGGAGAAACTAGATCACATGGAGATTAAGTGATTTGCCAAAGACAAATAGCTCTTTGGTGATAGAGCTGCAGATAAAATCAAAGTTTTCTAGTGCCTGGTCCAATTCTAAGATATCCCAAGAAAGCCAGAATAGAAATGCCAAGTCTAGGTCAGGGTTTTGTGGCATTTAGAAGCAGCAATATGGTGTAATGTCTTTGGATTTTTAAAAGAATCCATGGATTTAAAAGGAAATTGAGAACCAGATCTCCACATGTTCCTTACACCCCTCTGGACGTGAAGTTTTTAGCGACCTTCTTAGTCAAAAGTCACAAACATCAGAATCTATAGGGTAGATATACTGAGTCTTCATAGATCTTTATGTTACCAGATTGTTATAAAAAAATACCTAGAACCACTATTTTTGACCAGCAGAAATAACTAAAATGCAAAGTTTGTGAATTAATGCAATTTCCATTTCCCATGAGTATACCACCACCCTCATTGGGTCCTCTCTATTCGTTTCCACCTCTTCTCTCCCCGCTCCTTCTTCCATTGCCCTCAAATGCACTTTTTTGTTTATAGCATTTTAAATACTGACAAAATCTCACCATTTTGATTAGACTGCATTTCCATGAACCTGGAGCCGTTCTTCAAGGCAGGGCCAGATAACTACTGGGCACCCTCTGGCTCATGGAGGGTCCCTCCTGGTCATTTCCTCATGGTAAAATGGCCCCGGTGCTCCACCCATTCCGGCCTGCCTGAGCACGGGCACGTGACTTGTACAAGCTCTCTTCTAAACTTCCAAAATTAAAAAAGATGAAAAGTTTGAGTCAGAGGTTATTAACTTCCCAGGTTTTGAGAATTGTTTCTGTGTTCTAGAAGATATTGCAATTTCTCTCCTTGTTATTCACAATTCTCCCCATTTTTCTGTAACTGGTATAAACTGTTCCCTAATACAAATACAGTCAATTTTCCTTAATTTTGTCGTTAGTCACTCAAGCTCCCACTAGACTTATTAGCAAGATGGTCCTTTCAGTTCCAGTACTTCAAATCACAGATTATCTAGTCAATCCCCCTGAGCTTTGGGAGATGAGAGCCATAAGTAGATCAGAGTTTTAGGTGTTAGCTCTCAAATTGCACATTTCTAATTCTTAATGCCAACTGAAGTCTAAACTTGTTGTTCTTTCCCCTTATTTCATATCTTCTAAGTCCTTTTATGCTATTTTAAAATTCCCTGATTTCAGTTCTTGAGAGTTATTTTCCAGCCAGCTAGCATCAGTCATTCATCTTGAAGAGCCTCTTTCCCACTAGCTTGAATGTTCCCATCACTGCTTTCTGGTTTCCAAAATCAAATTCTAAGGCATCTGAATTAGCATCCAGAACATCCCAATATGTGAGCCTTACAGTCTCTAGAGCCAGGTCTTTCCTGCAGTAAACTGGAAACACTCATAAAATCACACTAAGAGGAAAAATACAAATCAAAAAAGCTGAACTTACACCCAGATTGTAGGACAGTTTGCTGATGTGTCTATTTTAACTTACTAATAATTTTCATTTTATTACCTTGAGAAGCAGTAGAGCATAGCAGAAAGTGCAGAGACATCATAAAAAATTGACTAGAATTCAAATTCTGGCTAAGTTTGAACCCCACCGTTACTGCTTACTAATTCTCTGAACTTGGGTAGTTTTATTAACTACCAAATGGAAAGTAGATAATAACATATACCCCCACAAGGCTGTATACAGACTAAATATGATTACATATGTAGAATGCCTAGTATGGTGGCTGGCAAAAATTGTGTGATTACTTAATATTATTTAATATCATTACTCCCAGATATTTTTATAGATTTATTGTTTCTATTTCTTTACTCATTTTACTATATTCAATCCCTTTCTTTCTATCAGAATAAAAAACATATTTTTACTTTTGAGGATTTTAATATTACTAATTATATTTTAGTAAACTTTATAAAGTCCAGATTGAGATTTTAGAGTCAATCATTAGACTCTAATGTTAATGGTTAGACATTAAAGTAAGTCTAACTGGTTTTTTCCTCAGAAAAACTAAGATGTTTTTCCTTAGAATTATTTTGTATACATGCAAATGTATTCCTCGCAGTATTTGAAAGTGACCATATGTTTTGCAAGGCAAAGTGTTTTACTGCCACATACTACTGTAACATAGGAAGACTTCAGCGTATATTCTCCCAAGCTTGATGAGGAAGAGCATACTCAGACATTTAGTTTAGTGGCTCATTAAGTCTTTCAGGTTATCTCTGACTGTCTTCCAAAAGTAATTTTTCTTTAAAATCTAACCAGCCCCTTTCCGTCTCTCACTCTGCTTTCCTCTGGTTTTGCTGTACTCTCAGGCGAGCCCTGCCCTGGCAGTGGCAAGACCGCTGCCAGCAACTCAAGGAGGAGCCCCTTCTAGTTCCAAGCTCAGTAGAAAAGCAAGCACACCCCTTCCTGTGATGCTAAAGTTATTATAATTGAGGAAAGGAGAATAGACGTCAAGTAAGCAGAACCACAGAAGGCCTCCAGATGCCTCATCAGAAAGTCTCATAAGCCTATGTAAAGGCAGAAAGGGACCTGGGTTTGGGGGAAGTCGGTTTTCAGTGCTTCGAATCCAAAAGACTCATCATTCCCCAAACCATCTCAGTAACTTCTCACTTGTTGGCCTTAAATCATTCTCCGAGGGTAATGCCTCCTGCTTGTCAAAATCCTTTACATGAAAGGAAAAGTCACAGATGGCTAATAAATATTTTTTCTATTTGGACAGTTTATTAATATCTACTCACAAAGGTATATTCTCTTTGGGTAGAGTTTTTAAATCATTTATGAATCTACTGAACCATATTATTTATGAATTAAAATAACTGGGTACCATTTTCATCTGTCACATTCACTAGAATTTTTCATGTTTATTCTATGATGAAAGAGGCATGTGAAATTGGTAAGTAATAGCTTATCAGACAAATGGTGAAGAACATTTGCTAAATGATTTAGGAGCAACAACAATTATAAAATTAGATCTCTATCTAAATTACTAATAGTTTTAAAGAGTTAAATGGAAAAAAAATGAAGCCACAGCGAAGTAGGAGAAAATATACCATTTATGATTATCTGTTCTCAAATTAAGGAAGGCCTTCCTAAAGATAACATAGTGACAAAAATTATACATGAAAGGATTGACTAATTGGATTAGAGAAAAAGTCTGATATATCAAAAAAATTTTATTTTAGTTAGGACAAAACAAACTGGACTCAACATTTCTAACATAAATATCTTGAGTTGGAATTTTTTATTCATGAAATTTATAGGGGAACTAATTCTGTCTACCTCCACCTCCAAAAATAGCTGCAAAAGAGGAACTATTCTTATGGGAGCTGTATCTGGCCAAGAGGGCCTTGAGTCTGCAGTGCAGAGCCTGAGCGGTCTTTAAAACTCCAGGAAGAAGAACACTGTGGTGAGGTCAGAGAATGAAGAGAGAAGACAATACTGTCAGCAATTACTTAAGTGAAGAGCTTCGGCAACGGGGAGAAATATCTAAAAAGAAATTAGGAATTTGTTCATGGCATATGCTATGTAAAACCTTGGTATTACCCTTGGAAGGAAATTTATAGTGAAGTGCAGTATTTTTTTTGAAGTTTTTATAGAGAGGTTTGTTTGTTATGGTATATTTTTTAATGTATGGACAGGCAAAAGGAGGATTCAAAGCCGCCTACTTACATCCAGTTGGTCCAGTTAAGAAACAAAAAGATTAATATCCTTAATAAAAAGATTTTAGAAACTAATAAGAAAAGGAAAATGCTATTTTTGAAATAGGCAAAGTATTTGAATAGATAATACTATTAAAAGGAAAATGGTTATAAACATGAAAAACATTACCTCATTCGTGCTCAAAGGCAGGTAAAATTAAAAAGAAATGTTTGTCAAGAATTACCCTCTTTTCCTCTCAGAAAATCACCCCAAAATGAGAAAGAAATTTAAATTCCATTTTTGGGGAAACAAGGCAAACTGCCTAATTCCAAAACCCAAGATATGACATGAAAAATCAAATGGAGGAATGACTGAGAGGAAGAGGATCAAAGGAAAGAGGGAAGATACAGAGACAAGTGATTCTAGTCACGTTTTAGCAGATAGAACCTAGGAAGGTTTTAGGTACCAGCAATGGTATGCTGATAAATGTTTAACAACCAGGAAAAGCTCTGTGTGTCTGTGTGTATATGTGTGTTATGCATGTATACGTACATGTAATATATTTTATTGATATAAAAGATGAATAAGGCCGGGCATAGTGGCTCATATCTGTAATCCCAACATTTGGGGAGGTCACAGCAGGAAGATTGCTTGCACCCAGGAGTTCAAAATCAGCCTGGGCAACATAGCAAGACCTCATCTCTACAGAAAGTATAATATTTTAAAAAATATATATATGGGTGTTATGGTGCATGCATGTAGTCCCAGCTACTCGGGCAGCTGAAACAGGAAGATCCTGAAACCCCAGGAGCTTGAGGCTACAGTGAACCATGATGGACCCACTGCACTCCCACCTGCGTAGCAGAGCAAGACCCTGTCTCAGAAAAGATATATAGCATACAATATGGTAATAATAATAAAATTAACATACTCTTTATTGGGAATTCCATACAGCCAATTGTTAATTTTTGCCAAACTCTTGAATTTGTAGCCAACTATGGTTGCAATCAATAATCTTGTTTTTGAAGATTTTTCTTAATTCATGGTATTGTTTGCTTTGCTTCTTAGGTACTAGCAAAAACCAGATGCCTTACTCAACAACTTCCCCGCCACCACCTCCACCAGCCCATCCGGCCAGCCAACCACCATTGCCAGCATCTCACCCAACACAACCACCAGCCCCAAGCCTACCTCCCAGAAATATTAAACCTCCATTTGACCTCAAGTAAGCAAAAGATTATCTTGCCATTTCTTTCCCAGTGTCTTGCCATAGATTTTCAAACCATGCTTGGTTGAGTGCTGAGGGTTCCATGGGAAACTTCCAGGTCTACAAAACTGGGCAGCTGGCAGAGAGAAGAGCTGGCCAAGCTGGCAATGCTCATACCCCTAGAATCTTATTTATCTGTTTTATGTTGGGTTTCCCCTTAAGTGTTTATTTGAAGAAGAAAATTTCCACTGTTTTTAAAAGTTCTAAAGCTTTCCTGAGAACCACCAACTCCTCCGCTATCACAATCACCACCACCTCATCACCGTATGTTTACTGACTGCCTGTGATGTGCTAGGCATGTTACATATATCGTCTCTATAACCTCATCGATTAGGTAGTATCATCATTATTTCAGATGAGGAAATGGAACTTTGGCTCTGCAAAGAAGCCAAGTAACTTCTCCAAGATCACAAAATAGTGTAGAATAAAAATTTCAATGAATGTTAGTCTGAATCCAGAGTAAATGTGCTTTAAACTACTATGCTAAATAGCCTCCTTTAATTAAAAAAAAAAAATACAGATTTTCTCTCATCCCTCAGAATTTCTGGCTGGGTGTTTAGGAAACTTTTATTCAAGCCTGCTCTTGCTTAAATGTTCTTAGATGTTATTTTTCAGAAATCTCAGCACTGTATGGGTTGCTATACGTGGGCTCTTTATCCAGGATTTAATAGAATAGTTGGTAAAGGAAAAAGCCCGTGGCAGATTGGAATAAAATGAAATGTCATTTTAAGAAGAATATCCAGACAATGGCAAGCATAAATCCTTAAGACAAAATGGACTAGATATTTCCTTTCTTCTTGTAGAAAATTGCTTTACGTGATTCTCTTTCATCACAAATAATATCTCAATATATTTAGTACAATTTGGTTTTTTTTCACTTAAATTCCCCTACCAGATTGATGTTCCTTACAACAAAAGTACTTAATATCCATAATCCATGTAATGGAAACTGTTAATAACACTATTGGATTGACAGATTCCCTATAATGCTCGATGACTACAATTTTGGGAAAAGGTGGAAAACATATTTGTCATGGAAAACCACTACTATTTTTTTTTACTTTAATATGCTTTCTTGGGGGTTTAAGGATAGTAAGTAGAGGGCGTTAGAGCAGCTTCACAGCTATTATCTTATATATGACCGCTTTGTGCATTTATATTAACAGCATACCCTTCTAAGCATTTGAATTTATGGATGTCAATTTAAAGCCTCTAATGCTCCATGATATCCAGCTACTTTTTTTTTCAAAAGGGAAAATGTGTGTAGTGAATGACTTTCACACTCCCATCGTAAAGCTCACATAAATTCCACAATGAAGCAATATCTGGGTTAGAAAATTTTCCCCATGTAGAGGAAGCTAGAAATGCATAGAGGAAATGAAAGCAAAATGGGTCTTGATGTTCAGGCTCAAAAGGTCACATTTCACATGAAGGGACAATGTATGGAGTAGTCTGTAAGAAGAATTGTGAAAGATATAGGTGTTTCTGTGCTGCTCACAGCACCAGTCCTCAAAACATATACATGAGTATTTGCCAACCTGCAAGCGTTCCTCCTGTTTCTAATCAAATACCACTCTCAGGTCAAGAGCTAATAGATTTCCTTTACAGTCATGCAACAAATATTTTTTGAGCTACTATGTTGTGCCTTTGTAATACAAGTGCAGGAAATATTACTAAACAAACAAAGACCCCTGCAAAGCAGGGGCCAAGAGACTAAATACATGAAAATAATAAACAGGGCTGGGCACAGTGTCTCCTGCCTGTAATCCCAGCACTTTGGAAGACCAAGGTGGGAGGATCACTTGAGCTCAGAAGTTTGGGAGCAGCCTGGGCAACATAGTGAGAACCTGTCTCTACTACCCATTTAAAAATTAGCAGGGCATGATGGTGCACGCCTGTAAACCCAGATACTCAGGAGGCTGAGGCAGGAGAATTGCTTGAGCTCAGGAAGGCAATGCTGCTTTGAGCTGTAATTGTGCCACTGCACTCCAGCCTGGGTGACAGAACAAGACCCTGTCTCAAAAATAAATAAATAAGTAAATAAATAATAAACAGGTAAAGTATATGGTATTAGCACTTGATGCTTCCTGAGATATTTCCTAGAGGGAAAATGGAGCTGAGTTAAGTACCAGAGGTGGAGTATGAGGGTGAGTTTGGGGATAGCATGTTGCTACTTGAGAGGTGAGAGTAGCTCCCTTATATTTAATTACAGTTTTTGCCATTACTTTCAATGGCAAAAAATGCAATTACTTTCACACCAACCTAATAGAAAGTGATACTTGAGCAAAGATTCAAAAGAAGTAAGGGAGTTAGACACGAAGGAAGACTGTTCTAGGCAGAGAGAGCAGGTAGAGAGAGCAACGGAAGGAACAGTAGGGAGAGTCATCTCATGTAGGGGCTTGTAAGCCGTGATAGGATTGCAGTACTTATCCTAAGTGAAATGGGACTCACTCAAAGAGTCAGAGCAGAGCAGTGACATTTTCTGACTTGTACTTTGTAAAAATCACCTTAATGGTTATGCTGAGAAGAGGCAGTACATAGACAATTCTCAAAGCAGGGAAACCTGTTAGTCAGATGTTATGGAAATGCAGGCAAGATATGGAGTAGCACTGCTCAGGATGGGAACAGTGTGGGTAGTGAGAAGTGTGCATATACTGGGTGTATTTTGAAGGAAAAGACAACGGAATTTGGATTTAGGGTACGAAGGAAAATGGGGATCTAGAATGGGTGGCTCCAGTGTTTTTCACTCAAGCAAATGTAAGGATCATGCTTCCATCAGCCCAAGCACCACCATGGGGAGGCTAAAGATGTCAAAGGCTGAAGATGTTAAAATTACAACAAATCTAAAGATCTAAGTGTTTTTATTTGCACATCTAGAATCGGGCAACACTTTGTTTCATAAAATATAGTGAGTTTTCCAGTGAGTGAAGCAGAGGAGGCTGGCTTTATAAACAAAAAGAACTGAAGAAGCAGAAACAAAAAACAGAAAGCAGATTGGTCATTTCAAAGTTACTTTCCTTATAAGGCAGTTACAGGGAGCCAGAACAATAGAAAGATAATGGAAGTTAACATCGGCTGACTCCAGGTCACTCTTTGTTGTAAAGATTAAAACAGAACTTAGTTATTGTGACAGAAGATGAAAATTGGCCTTTTTGGGCAACTAGGCCATTCTCTGTCTCTCCTGATTTCCCAAAAGGCCAGAAGACAACTCAGTTTCAGTTTGGTGAGCATGGGTGATTCCATTTTGATTTTCAGTCTGGTCTTCTGGGGCCCAGTATAGGAATTTAGTCCAAAAAAATGGCCTCCTAGATTTTGTTTAACAAAGGTGAGGTCATGGCTATGTTAAGTTTGAGGTACCTTTTAAGCATCCAGTTGAGTAAAAAATGGAGAGTCTGGGAGATAATTCTGGGTTTAAAATATAGACTTGAGAGAAATAGGAACATATTTCACACTGAAAGTCATGGGGCTGGTTAAGATGACCAAGGAAGGGAGTGTAAACAGAGAAGAAAAGAACTGAGCCCTGGGGTACCGTAACTCTCTGAGGCCTGGGAGAGGAGAAGGGGCAAAGGAGAATTAAAGGAGCAACCAATAAAGCCGGAGTCCTGGAAACCCAGGAAAGGAAGCATCCAAGGAGAAGTCAGTGAGCAACTGTGTCAGGTGCTGGTGGAGACCAGAAAGTGAGGACTGTGGAGGTCAGTGCAGCGGAAGTTGTCAGGAGTGGTGGGGAAGCAAGCCTGATTGAAAGGGCTTTAAAAGAGAATGAAAGGAGAGGAATTGCACAGAGCAAATATAAACAACTCCTTTACAAAGAAAGGGAAAGCAAAGAAATGGGACTGTACCTGAAGGGAGAAATGAGATCAAAAGACTTTTTAAAGATGGAAATAACAGCATGTCTGTAAGCTGATGGGAAAGACCCAGTCAAGAGGGAAAAAGGATCAGGTAAGGGAGAGGGGAGAATTGCAGGAGCCCAGCATTAGAGCAGAGGGGAAGAATGGCTTCCCTAAGCTTTACAGTTCTCCCGAGGTATAGACTGGAATCTCTAACTGGGATCAAGGAAGGAATTTCAGAAGACAGGGTGGACTTTTCATCTGCAGCCTGATCTGCCTACTCCTAAAGCGGTCCCCAGAAGTAGCTTGAAATGATATCATTCAGGCCAGGATGTCTTATGAGTGTAAAAGACTTGAGACAGGCAAGAATCAGAAACCCTAAATAACTTTGAAAATAAAGTAGTTGAGGCCAAAGTTATATTGTATTTTAAATTGTATTGTTTCCCCACCTAGTGGTCAGAAATTAGTTACATTTTCTGCTATTTTTACTCAGACATTTGAAGAGGAAATGAAATGGGTCAAAAGAGTATGTTTATCATTATTAATGTTCAAATCAACATCTTTTAGTGTAATACATTTTTTTTTTTTTTGAGAGAGAGAGAGAGAGAGTCTTACTCTGTCATCCAGGCTGGAGTGCAGTGGCACCATCTTGGCTCACTGCAACCTCTGCCTCCCAGGTTCAAGTGACTCTCCTTTCTCAGCCTTCCGAGTTCAAGCGATTCTCCTGCCTCAGCCTCCTGAGTAGCTGGAATTACAGGAGCCTGCTGCCACACCCAGCTAATTTTTGTAGTCTTAGTAGAGATGGGGTTTCTCCATGTTGGCCAGGCTAGTCTCAAACTCCCGATCTCAGGTGATCCACCCGCCTCAGCCTCCCAAAGTGCTGGGATTACAGACTTGAGCCACTGCGCCCAGCCATTTTAATACATTTATTGGTATTTTTTCAAATTATAATTTTAACATCATAATTAATTTTTCATATGAAAACAGAATCAATGGTTATTTTGGCATGTCAAACAAATTACATGGTTATTAATAGTAATGAGACAGAAAAAGTGAAGTAATAAAAAATAATAATAATGGGAAGTGACTGAGGTGAGAAAAGGAAAGATTCCACAGTTTTTGCCCTGAAAT